TCAGTGGCGACCGATCATAGGTTAGAGTCCCTTTGCCATCAGGCTAACCGTAGGAGGTTTTCATGCTCTCTCTCTCTCTCTCTCTCTCTCTCTCTCCCTCTCCCCCCCAAGGCAAATTTCTCCCAATACTTGATCCAGAGTTCCCTTGTCCTTGGGCTTGATTCAAATTATCCATCGTACTATTATGGTATGAGGCAAGATAAAAATGTGCCAATGTCTAATTTAGAATGTTAGGCAGATTTGATGGTCCCATAAAGCTGTTTTTGATGAAAATTAAAGATGATAATCATCACACTTATGTTAATTCATCATTGGGGAAACATCAGGATTTTTTGTCTTGGGTAGTTGACCTAATTTAAAACTCAGATGATTTGTTTCAATCGTTTTGTCGTGCCATTCCTGCTAGTTTATTCAACTCATGAAGACGTTCCACACTACCGGAAACCATTCCTGTTTTTATAAATTTTATTCCTTGTGTTTTTAAACATTGTTTTTACTCAATCGTAGTGTAAAAAATTTGAAACTTTTCTTACCTGCGCTCCTATTAAAGGAAGAATTCCTACCCAAATAGCACCAACTGAGTTTGCCCCCAACATTGCAAACAATGCTTCTTCTCTGTTGGATAAATGACCTACAAAAACAATAATTTCTAAAATATATAAAATGTGTAAAACGTTTTCATTTTTCTAATCTTCATTAATTTTCTTAGATCAATATTTTTATTTATAACGTTTCTAAAACTTTTGAATATTATTTTAATTGGAAAAAAATGCGAACCAAGTGTTCAAGAAAAGTGTTTAAATGTAATTTAATTCAAATTTAATATATTTCATTCTCTATACTTTCAGTATTTTTTCTGTTATTAATAAAAATTTAAAATAACAGATAAGAAAAAAAGACTATTTAGTAATTTATATTATATTATTGCAAAACACAAATACATAATTTAAATTTAATTTTAACCTACCCTTTAATTTTTGGATTTTCTTAAATTTATTTTCAACAGAAAACAGAATCATCATTGCTAGAATGTGCTACACTGATATTGAATTATAAGGAATTGGAATTCGAGGAAAAAGATTCAATTAAAGAAATAAAATTTAAATAATTACAAATGTAAATGATATGACATGAGCCATAATAACAGAAAATAAGTGGTGTCGATGACTCTTTTACTATCTTAGTTACCACTTAAATAGAAAAAGTTATATTTTTCATGAAATTATGCTTGGATGAACTAATTTTTATAACTGAGCAAAAAATTTTCAATTCACTTAAGTTTAGGCGAAATATGAAAAATGTAAAATTAACATTACGGAGCCCAAGCTCTGGACCGCTGTCCCAACTCAAATATTGGAACTAAATTTCCCAGATTGTGACTACTCTCTATATTTTGGGAACCAGAATGTTTTTTTCTGAGTAAGTACGTTTTGGTGTCTGATTTCGTAGCTTAAAATATCGTTTGCACTAATTAATTAGCATATTTGTGGCCATCCCCTCAAGCCTTTAAGATTGAGTCCTAGAACATGAAGATCCGATCACTATATCAAAAGTTATTTAGGGTAGTCAGTTTATTTATTTTTTTGTGCTCTGTGCAGGCAAAAAAATTCTAGTAAAATTACCATGCCGTATAACTATAAAATTTCGTAATTGAAAAAACAACATAAATTTGTTTAATAAAATTAAAATAAACGATATTTAAACCTTTCCTTTGGTAACTTTTCCGTTCCGGTAACGGTTTCCCAGAAATCCTGCTTTTGAAGATTATAGTTCTTATTACTTCACATTTAGTAAAATACTATATAAAAAAGTAAATTCAACCGAATAAAGGGTTTTAATACCATATTCTAAGGTATCATGTTAAAATTACTAAATTTTGTCACATATTATAAAACCATATTTTATTGATAATATTTCCAAAATTATTGCCAAATCGCTTCGGAAAAAACTACCGAGGATTTTGGTGCTCCCATAGAGTTAGAAATAAGATAAATTTTACCCTGGTCTGGTAGTTTTTACAATAATTTTTTTCAGTGTAGCAAGGTAACACTGGACGTCAGAACATAGACAGAGAAGGTGTAAGATTCTCACCTTACTATGTGTTTACAACTAAGTTGGGAAATTTGAAACTTTAAAAGTAAAAAAAGTTTGTAATTACCATAGAGAACAAAAAAAATTCTTTTAAACCTTTATCACTGTCATTAAGATAAAAAATGGAGTTTTGTATTAATGATATATCAATCGATGTTTTGTGTGTTTCTCACCAACAATTAGATCTCCTTTTTTGAGCCCAATTTTCCGAAATGCTGCAGCATATCTTTTAACTTCTCCAAATACTTGAGCGTAGGTATAAACTTTTTTATCTCTATCTTCTCCTGAAACAAAATCAATAATTTTAAGATAATGAATAATTTATAATCGTTCATGCAGCCTCTAAAACATATGCAAATTGCTAATTATGTATCCCTCATATCTTTCATGTGCATTTTCAAGAATAAAATATCCTAAAAAGTAAAAATTGAAATTATATACTGTAAAATTATGATTTGAATCCGAATATAGCCTAGATATTTTGGGAAATATGTGTATAAATTTTTATAATATTTATTTTTAGAGAACTTTCCAATGATTTATTTATAAAATTATTCATTATCTTATAATTTTAAGAAAAATAAATAGTTTTAAAAGTTGAAATAGAATAATTTTTTAAAATAAGATTATTCAGATTTAGAAGTTTTAAACTCTCTCACAATAAATGAAGAAAACCTATGAAAATATATACTAAAAAGAGTAATTTTATTTCTTTTTTTTTTTACTAAAAATATAATTAAAAATGTAAATAGAATGGAAAAAAAACACATCATCCTTAAGAAATACCAGAAATCGTTTTCTACATCTGATTAATTTAATTGCTCATTTTAGTTGAAAGCATAAAAGAATTAAAAAATTTATTAGTACCTATTGCAATCAAAGCAACACTATCATTCTTCTTTCGTTAATGAATTCAATTTTGATTAATAACAACATGAACGCTTTAGTTTCGTAAAATTAAATTTTAAAAATAATTATAGCATTCAATTTTTAATATTGGTTGAATATTAATAATAACTTAAAACTTAAAAGACTACAAAACGCAATTATTAAAATATTGAAAAGTAACAATACTGCAAAAAAATTTTCGTGCAACTTAACACCAAAATTTGCGTCAACTACATTGCAACAAAATGGTGTTCCAGTACTATGTCAAGAATCTTCTAAAATTTATAATTATATTAATATAATATACACATATGAATAAATAAATATATTTTTACAATACAATGTAAAGAAAGAATCATTAATTTAGAACGATTTTCTAATTTTTAAAATAAAACTAGTTTGCAAATCCAACATACGAGAAACACACAGATAACATAAAGACGAACTCAAACAAGGCTTAAGAGAGCGGAAGCTGACAAAAATTATACATGTTAAAATCATACATTTCACAGAGATTAAATACACATAAGAATAAATAAATGTATTATTACAATACAATATGAAGAGCCTTGGTGGCTCAGGAGATAAAGCGTTCGCCTTCCACTGAGGTGAGCCGGGTTTGAATACCAGCAATGGCTGGTAGACATGAATTCCGCACCCGGCTTGCACCGACCACACTGCTAACGTAAAATATCCTCAATAGCAAACGAATCATGGGTCCCCTTGCCGTCAGACTCACCATGGGAGGTTTTCGTGACTTTCCTCTCCATATAACGCAAATGTGGGTGAGTTCCATCAAAAAGTCCTCCACGAAGGCAAATTTCTCCCAATACTTGATCCAGGAGTGCTCTTGGTCTTCTGGATTGGGTTCAAAATTACAAGGATACGGAGTTGAACATTGGCAGTCGTAAATTCAAAATTGGCTCGGCTATTCAACGACGATTATAGAATAAAATAAAATATAAAGTAAGAATTATTAATTTAGAATGGTCTTTTGAATTTTACAAAATAAAACTAGTTTGTAAATCCAACATAGGAGGAGCACACAGATTCCGTTAAGACGATCTCAAACGAGGCTAAAAAGAATGAAAGCCGATAGAATTGTTAGAACATGTTAAATCATACAGTTCATAAAATATTTAAAAGATAACAGATAATTATTCTTATAACACAATTAAAACGCAGTTATCTATTTTAACTATGAACAGCAAATCGTTCAATCAACTCGTAACAAATCATTAACAACTGCTAAGTATCTTAGACTGATTCTCGATTACGAACGCTAACTTCTGGCGATAAAAATAAGCGCGCCAACACATTGGTGTTTATGGACAGCAGAATAATTCTCGTTTGATGTGAATCGGTGAGAATTTGATGTAAGCTAACTCTATAACTGTTTTGATTTAAAATTCACCCTTTAAATCGTATATGAACCCTTCTTTTGGAGTTAAACCGAAATAAAGTTTTTTTTACAAGAACTTGTGGGGTTGTTTAACATCATATTCGGAGAGATATTACGCCACAGTTTTTTTACTGTTTATTGTAATTTAAGTCCAATGTTATAACATGCTTACCTATTGCAATTAAAGCAACATGATCATCTTTATATCTCAATAGGTTTTCTGCTAAGTTCAGTTTAGCTCCAATGAACCATTTCGGAACATCACTCATGGGAACAGATAAATCAATAACCTATAATGCAATAATCATAAGAAGGTTTTAAAATATTTAAAAAAAATATTTTGAATTACTATATATTTTTGTAGAACAAGTAGAAAAATATGATAAACAAGCTTTTATAATAAAAACAAATTTTGAAACGAAGATTATTCAGTTATGAACTTTTACATTACATTTAGAAAAAAGTAAGTTCAAAGCTACTTGAATATGGTAAAATTCATCCTGTTTTTGGCTCTATGGTAATTTTAAAAAGTACGGTAAAATTTTCAAAATTGCTTTGGTAATGACTTTTGATATGAATAATAATAAAATATGGATTTATTATCATACTTTTGGTAGTAAATGTGTTAAAATTTGATAATTTTTTCATGAAAATTTAGAGCATGGCATAAAAACATTTATGCGATTGAATTTACTTTTCATATATATTTTTTCTAATGTTTGGTACAAAGAACTATAATTTTAAAAAACAATATTTTCGGTAAGTCGTATCGATTGCGAATGGAAAAATTGCCAAATGAATAGTTTAAAAATTGCATATTTTATTTTTATTAACTAGAATTATGCTTCACCAGAAATGTCATTACCATACAGTACGGTAATTTCACCAGAATTTTTTTCTCTGTGTAAATATTACTTATAACTAAGCTGACCAAAGTAATCTAAAGAAACTATGCTTTGTTGCAAGTTAGGAAAAAACCCTTATCCCTATATGATATAAGGAGTACAAAACTTATTGAATAATCAAAGAACAGGTAATAAGAATTAATGTAAAAATCAATAAGAATTATTAAAAATTAATAAAAATAACATCCAAAATTCGTAATAAAAATACGCCGTTCTGCTTGCATTTAAGGAAACTGATAAAGGATTAATAGATATTGTTTTTTCTAGACGATTTCTTCTACCTCGAAAAAAAGTTTATAAAAAGAAGCTGAAGTTTATTTTTGTATTCTTTATCTCTAGCCTTTGATTTATTATGAGCATGTCAGCATAAGACGCGCCATTTTAAGAGGCCCAATCAAATTCAATGCTCTTGCAACATCATATAGTTGTTTCTTTTTCAACATATATAGGTACAAGTTTCAAAAAGGATAGTTAAAACCTCACTGCTTTACCTTTCCAATTTCGTTTTCTGAGAATAGAAATCCTTCGCAAAAAGCCTCCAAAAGAAATATTTTTTAAATATTTGAAACAGTGAAGCCGCGTACTTTCGAATTTTCCTTCCGACACCTTGCTACCAGCGTTTTTTTTTTTTTTTTNTTTTTTTTTTTTTTTTTTTTTTTTTTTTTTTTTTTTTTTTTGCTTGCTTACCAGCTTACATATAGCCTCATAAGAAATTAGAAAACTATTTCAAAAATTCAATTTTTTTATTACTGAATGCTAATGACGCACATTGCACTTAATTTTTAATTTTTATGGTTTATGAAGACAAAATAAAAATGTATGAAAGATAGTTTTGTAATCGAAAGTCAAAAGTCAACCAGACCGCTGAATTTATAAACGCTATGTTTTTATAACTGAGAACATCTTATAAATTATGAGAGCACTTATTTTTTCATACCACAACAAATTTGCTTCGGTTTCCAGGACTCAAATATTAGATAATTTCAAATGTTAGAAATTTAGAACTAATGCAATACTTATTTTTGCTCGTACTAAAATGAATTTACTCAAAGTAGCAAAATTTTAAACACTAAAGTTTTCGAACTGTCTGAATTACAAAGCTGGACCAAGTATCTTCTTTATATTCACGCCAATATAAATTTGAAGTACGTAATGCAAATGTTAAATGCGTTGAACTGTTAGCATTCCATAACTGATACGAGCAGTATATTTTGGTATTTCAAAACTGATAAAATAATCTCTTTGTGGATAAAATGGCACATTAGATTTAGAGATTATTCAAGAACTTTCATTTACATGCAATTTTTTAATTGCTTAAAAAAGTCACGTGTTAGTTTGACGAGAAATTACATTGAAACTGTTACAGAACAAAACGTAAATGTTTGTCAAGAAATTCTCACAGCCTACAAAGATAAAAGAAAATTTCCATTTTTGTTTTTTGTAACTAATTAAGAAAATTTTACTTATTTAACTGTAATTTTTGCAAAAATAAGAATTACTTTTGAAAATGAGCTTTTTTCTTAAATTGAAAGCTGAGACATTTCTTAAAACTGTTAGCTTTGAAACACCTTTCGAAAAACGCTCGAAAATAAAGTTCTAAAACTGTTTGCAAGAAAAAGTGGAGTTTGAATAGCATAAGAAACATTTTACTTTTATTCTGGTTAAGACAAAACTGTACTTTAATTCAATTTTTCGAAACAAGAATTCAAATGTTTATTCAATGCATAATGTAAGTTGACTAAAAAATATAAATATTTAGATCAAACCTTATCGAATGTTTTCGAACATTTGATTCCTACAATATGCCATATTTCATTCCAAAATTTGTCTATATTTTGGATCGACCATTTGTGAAGATCCCAATAACTATCTGAAAAAAAGAATTTCCAATTATCAATCTCTTGCATGAATAAATGTTTTTAAACAAACATTTATTCAGTCGAATTCATTTCAAATCAAGAATTATTTTGTATTAATATAATTTATTGAAGAACTATAACGAAAAAGTTACGAAGCAATAATATTTACTTTTATTACATCTACAATATTTGAAAACTGTGAGTCTTTAGTTTTGTATGGATTTAAAATTATAAATTCTGTAACTTTTCTTAATAAAACAATATTAATATTTTTTATAAGTTGTAAATAGTCCAAGGAATAATAATTCTTTAAAAAAAAGGAATATTATAAGTTTTTTAAGTGAAGATTAGTCTTATTTAGGATTTTATTGTCTTTACTCAATTAAATCCTATGGATTAAATTTAATCAAATGATTTGAAATCTCATTTTATCAAGTAAGAAAAGGGAAAAGAGATATATGGTTTCGTTTATCTAGCAAAGGAAAAAAAACAATATTTAAACTAGTTTCTTTAATTATAGTGTTTATACAATTAAGAAGAGCTATTATGACAAATTATAACATTTTTTCTCCTAATCGCAAAGAGTTAATTCCTAAATGTCACTGATTTGGTTTCAAAATCATTCAAAGGACTGCAACTTGTAATTTATTTTGCTACACAATGTTTATTAAGGAAACATTTTAAAATTTAAATATTAAGAAAGTAATTTCTCTTACCAATTTTAGCTTTGTACTTATTTGCGATTAATTTAACAAATCTCGAATAGTAAACACCATTGCTTCCAATTGGTTTCCACACGCAAGGTACGTTTTCGAAGCTTTTATGATCCATTTTTTCTAGGAAAAAAAATCATTTTTTATTAATATACGGTGTTATTTTTAGCATGATCTTATTTTAATACTTCACTACATTATCTGAAATAATATTAATTATGTATAGAGTGCACAAAAAAATAAACGGACCAACCTAAATAACCATTGATCCTTACGTTCTAGAATTCAATCTTTATGGTTCGAAAGAGTGACCTCAAATATGCTTATTAATTAATGCAGACAATATTTTAAGTCCAGAATCTGACGGGGAAAAAACTTACTCTCTCAGAATAAACATACTTTTTTCAAAGGATTCAGCTATCTGACCCCTAAAATATAGGAGCCAGCCGCAATCTTGAATATCTGGTCTCAAAAGTTTGGTCAAGAGAGCAATACAAAGTTTAAACCCCTTTATGTCAATTTTATTTTTTTGGATATTTCGACATATCTCGAGAACTTTTAAAGCAAATTGAAAGATTTTTTGTACAAAAACATCAAATTCATTTATTCAATGATAATTCTGTGCAAAAAAAAATAGCTTTTAAGAAATATTTATCATTCCTTATTACTTTTTTTTTATAATAGGCCGAAAAAAATTTTAATTGTAAGGTATAAATTTTTTTACATCATTTTTAAAGAATGTAATTTTACATGGCATAATACAATATTTGAGCGAAGTCTTTTTCTGCGAAATTGAATTTTAAAAATACCGCCTTTTTAAAAATTTGATTTCTCAGGAACTATTCGACCGATTTCGCTAAAATTTCGCATAGCGTCCAACCTTTGTGTCTCCTTCTCACCAAAATATTAGGACCATATTTCCTAGACTCCCAATGTATTTTGGGAGTCAGAAATTCTAATCCGTCGAAGGAAAAGGTATGTTTATTCAGAGAAAGTACGTTTCTGTGTCTGATTTCGTAACTTCATGCTACGCCTAAAGTCGCATCAATACTGATGCGATAGTTGTATTTCATTTAGAAGTCATGTTTAATTATAATGAAATTAAAGTTATTGAACAAAAACCATCTATTGTACAAACAATCATATCTCCACCCCTCAGCGGTCGGCGGTAAAATTATCAAACGTTGAAAAAGTTTGGAGAGCACTGCTTTAGGGAATTAGTATTCTAACGATTGCGTAATGAAGAAACTTAGGATTTCGGGTGCTCCCTTTAGCGAAAAAACCTAAAACACGTGGACGCTCAAAGGGAGTGCCACGATTTAATTTTGTCATCGCTACTAAATTTAATAAATATATTGTCACCAAATGCTCAACTTAGAACTTTAAAAATGTAGGAAAAATTGTTTTATGCGTATGAAAATATGAAGCTTTTACTTAAAAATTGCGTTAGGCGTACAAAAGAAATTTGTAGAATACATCTTTATATGAATATAACGTTCCTTTTTCGGAACTTGGCCGCAATTGCTACAGACCGCAACATTTTCCTTCATATCAACTTCTTGAAGTATACAAAATCGCTTTGACCGCACTTGAATACAAAATCGTTGTTTTGAGGAGCATTTTTAGTCTCTTTGTCTTAAACTTTGTGTACTTGCCTGTCAAACAGGACTCATTACAAACTAGCCAAATCTGTTTGTTTCTTCAAGTATACTTTTCAAAATGGCACAAAATATATTTTTAATCCAAACTTCCATTTGTTTTTAAAGAAAGAAACAATGTTCAGTTATTAATATGAATTTAACTTAAATTTCTAATTTACAGAAAATACATTTTTGATAATAAATTATTTTTATTATTATTTTGTTGTTAATTATATACCGATTTTTATTCCAGAAAAACGCAAATTTTGTTCTTAAATGAATAACGCATTATAATAACTAAAATGCATACTTTCGGATATCTATAAAATGCACCTTATTTAAGGAATAATTCCAAATAATAACTCAATGTTTAGGATATGTACTCAAATCGTTTTTAAGACTAACGATTCAATTCTGAAAAGAAGAAAAGGGTATTTTTAGTACTTTACAACTGTTTTATTAACAGTTTTTGGCATTTCTCTATATTTAAATCAAGTTCAAAATTAAATAAATCTGTTTCAGGAAAAATATTTTATCTTACCAACAATGAAAAGCTACCAGTAACGGAAGAAAATGGTTATCTGGATTTTTTTTCCGTCAATTCTTAATATCATTCAACTACGAAATAAATTATCTCATTCAATAAGCTTGAAATTTATTTTATCATTTTATGCTTGCATGTTTATCATTTTCTAGTTGTTTGTTTTGTTTATTTAAAGAAACTCCCTTGATTCAATTTTGATAAAATCATTTCATCTAAACGCATAATAAATAAAAAATATCTTTGAGGATTTTTAAATTCCGAGACATTTAAGAAATGGAATTTTCTCATTGGCTTAGATATAGCCATTGTTCTAAAGTAAACTATAAACTATTCGGTTTTGTCAGTTTATTTTTAAAATAACACCAGTGATGCTTGCTAGCTTACAGCTCTAATAAAAATGAAAAAAAAATTTTATTGCACGTTCTGTATTACTTAGTTATTTTTTATTTTTTATTCTTTATGCTAGGTTATCTCATTGATCAACGTGATCAAGATAGCACAAACGGATTACGTCACCAAATTAGTATTCTTAAGGTTATCTGAAACCACGTATTATTTTTATTTATAGATCGTTTATAGACAGCTGATCTATGATAGGCAAAATAGCGTGTTAAAGTTGATCTACGTTTTTCTACACAAGTTGGAATGTTAATTAAAGGGAAGTTAATTAAATACGGCGCCATATCACACATCGAATTTATTGAAATATAATTCTTTCTATTCTACGTCTTTTGCATAACTGTTATTTTGTATAACTGTTATTTGCTCTTTTGCATTTACTGTTTATTTGTGTATTTTATTTCAGTCGAGGTATATTTTTGTTTTGTGTACCTGGCAACTTCGATACATAATTAGTTTGTTAATATTCTGCATAGCTTCATGCCTGTCTTAATATTAAGCAAGAAATATTTAGTGAAAGAATTGAAATCTTTATAAAAGAATCATTGAGTAGGAATATAGAATGTATCATTTAAGAAAATTGATGTTTGATGGGCATGGCTTACTCGAAATACGGTGGAAAGAACAGTTGCTAACGTAAGCGAATGCCACGTTTCAGAAACCAATCAGGATCGAGATACCCACACAACGTTACTTTCACGTATCCCATTTCAAAATCAATTTGCTTGAATTTGTTTTTAGATCTGTATATTATTTCAACTTAAAGAAGTTAAAGTTCGCTTCTGCCAGAAAAAAACTTGCAATTTACCTCAATGGCTAGCATAATTATTCATTGCAATTATGTGCACAGTTAGATTGCGATTTATTATCCTTCAAAATTGCCATTGAGATGATTACTATATTTTTTAATGTTAAACATTTTTACAGCAAATTAATACTGTATTAAGCATTTGGAGGCGGCTAGTTAGGTATTATAATACCATTAAGCATATTTTATGATTGTATTATGAATAATTAAGAGAAATCATCATTTGCATCACAAGTACGCAAGCTTCAAACTAAATTATATTGAATTCATGTTTTTTTTTATAATTGAAAAAAAAACATTATATTGAATTCATGTTTAAATACCTGAAACAAATCGGTCACAAAATTTATGTAATTGATTTAAGAAGTGCTTTTTACCTGATGCTTTTTTTCCAATACTTGTTTTCTTTGCTTTTTTTCCATAATTTTTTTTTTTTTTCATTCAGAGCATTTTTCTGTGGTTCTCATAGCAAAAAAATTCACAAATTCTCAATGTGTTATTTTTGTTGAATAACACACTGAGAATGCGTAATGGCTTGAATGTGTAATTTTTGTTATACCCAGCACCTGTAAATTCCATTAAAATTAATGCAATTTGAAATTTTTTTTAATTCAAATTTATAAATTTTACTTAGCATTTATTAAAATTATTGAATGTTGAAAAATACTCCATTAACTTTACTAAAATGTAAACATTATTTTATGAAAATTAAACGATGTTCTATGAAAATTTATTTTTGTCAATAGCTTAAAAACCTGACATGACAGAGCAGAACTGTTTTTTCAGATTTGAAAACACCATAGAAAAACTACATTAGAAAAAGTAAGCACCATGCAAAACATATAAAACTTGTTTATCAGTGTTATTAAAGTAATTGCTATTGATCTCTGCTAACAATAGCAAAATGTAATGAGACAATATAAGACAGATTTCCTTAAAAATGTTTTAAACTTTCAACGAACTTCTTTTACTGATTGCAGCTTAATAAATGCTTTGTAAAAAATATTGCAAAATAGTGCAGAAAAAGATAAATTCCTTTTTTTGGATTTCTTTATCAAAATTTCCTTCAAATCGATTGTTACTTTGAACAAAAACTCCAAGAAAAAGAACATTAACTCAATAAAATTGCTTTATTACTTATTTGCATCTTTTTATTTGTAGATAAGAATATAATTTAAAAATTAACTTATTCCTCTAAATTTTTTCTGCCTTATTTTAAAATCAGCATGCAAATGAAAGCAAACGCTGCTTTTGGTTCAGTAAAAATCATGAAATGTGCAAAAAAAAAAAAACTCTTTACTGAGAAAATTGTTTTAAAAAAATTAAAATATACTTTGAAATTTATTGTTGAATTATACAAGAAAAAATTAACATTAGTTTCTAAAAAGTATTGAATCAAAATGAGTTTAGACAGGAAAAAAAACCATCAACTGTTGCAATCTAAAGTCATTGATTTTCATGTCGTTGATAGACTAATCGTAGAAATATTTAATCCTATATTTGCCTTATTTCAAATATTTGGCATTTGTTCATGGAATCATGCAGATCATACAACATCAATACAGTTTTTAAAGAAAACAGTGTGCACTTTTATTTTTCTTTCATGTATTTTCATAGGTTTGATTGAATGTCTCTCAAATTCCAGATTTGGCTTTCCTAGATATTCGTTTCAATATTTATCAGAATTCGCAATGGGCTTCCTCAGAGTTACTTTAGAGATTCAGAATTCAGTCTTTTAAAAATTTAGTTTCAATTATTAGGAAATTTATGTCCCAACGTCATAGTATAGAGTATATGGATCTTTTTCGAGTCAAGAAATGTGTTAGGTAATCAGTAATACTTACCCTATTAATCCATTCACCGTTTCTAATGTATTATATTTGGAGCATTGACGATTCTGACTCTGTCCAAGCTTATTATTTCGGCTTTCATTCCTCAAAGACTATAGGAAAATTACTATCTATTACTCTTACTTTGTAACTTAAATTATTTATATAATTTCAAGCATATTCATTTTATACTTTTGCACCATATGCTGGATTTTGTGCAAAATTCTTATGTGATACAGTTTTTGCTTAGAAAAAGTAAAAGCTTGAAATGCTTAATAACTATTCATGGAAATGTAACCAAACTTGTGTCAAAGCGGATAAAACACTTCGCCGCATCGTGTTCTGCTGTATTACAATAAATCTGGCAATCACATTCGATGAATTGCATAACATTTTTCAAGGTGATCTAAAAGAGACTCTTGTTGGGGTACTTACAGCTTTCCGCTGCATCTCTGGAATGGTTACTTTAATTTTATTTGGGTCTCTTGTCAGTGAAGCTGCTGATTCCGTAAAAAATTCGATTCATTGTGTAGAATGTGAGCTTTCCCCACCCCAGTGCATTATCAGAATCTCATTTTAAAATTAAGCTCCAGTGACATATCCCTTACTTAATGGAATATCACTGCGTAGCGCAGAAGTCTAGCTTTCGGCATTATTGGTGGCTTCATGACATACGGATTGTTAATAGGATCTTATACACATAACGTATAGTTCACCAGTTTAAGTCAATGCTCACGTTCACCAATGCATTATCAGAATCTCATTTTGAAATATTAAGCTTCAGTGATATATTCGTTACTGTGTGGAATGTCACTACGTTACGTAGAAGCTTGACTTTCAGCATCATCGGGGCCTTAATTACATTCAGAATGTTAATAGGACCTTATATTCAGAGCATGTAGGAAAGTGTTTTATCAAAATATATATATTTGAAAAGAAATCTAGAATATATCTTTATTTTGCTGTAATTTTAACGAAAAACTAAAAGTACATGTTTAAAATGTTTATAAATCTGGCTATAGACGAAATCTCAAAAGATGCTTAGAAATGATATTCCGTTTGCCATTTTTAGTGGCCGCATAAATTTCTGGTTAAATTATTCTGATGTTAATATATTAATAAAATTTGCAATGTTCCCACATTAAAAGTTGCACATTTTATAAAAAAAAGAAAAAAATAGTAAAGATAATTTAGAAGTGTATCATTTAGCTGGTTTGCAGTCATTCCGACAATCGTTATACAATGGCGCTTTTGAAAACTATATCTAATGAAATAAAATAGAGTTGAATCAAAATATGCAGATTTTATTTAAAAAGCCTTTTATTTTATTTTATTTATTTATTTATTTCCTGCAAAAAATTAGAATTCTGACAAAACAAAGATGTTTACAAACATAATTATCTACTTTTTAGCAATTAAAAACTTCATACTATTAATAAATGTAAAAATTGTTGCAAAAAAGAGATGAGTTATTCGTAACTTTAAATTTATTTTTAGTGTTACGTCATGCACTTAATATCATATTTAGCTCATTGTAGAATGAACAAGAATGTAAAATAAATTATTGAATATCTTAAGACTGATGTCTCAATTTATCAAAAATATTATTTCTATCGAAATAATTAAGCATTACTTAAGATAAAATATTTTTAATCGAATTACACGAAATGAACTGTCAGAATAACCTTGACGTTTTGGCTTAGACAGTGTTTGCCGTTTAACGTTTGCTTACGTTCTATTACTATTATGTTTCCTCAGTTGGTTTTTTATTTATACGAAATATTAGTAATATTGATTATTGATTTGGGCCAATCTTCTAAAAGCAGTGTTTATAACTTTACATTAGACGTAGAAGGTTATTCATACGTAATTAGTTATGGCATATGAATAACATTCTACTATTGGATGAGAGAGAAAATTAGTCAGTGAGAAATCAAACGAAAATTTCTTGACTGGCTTAAATAGAGTCCTCGAGAAAGTATCTTTTTTCGCCAGAATTTCGAAATTAAATATACGTTTTCTTTTTTCCTTGCTTTAAAAAATACTCTTAATTATTAATATTCTTACTAAAATATTTTTATCAATATATTATCTTCA